GAAAGGAAATTAATACATGATATAATTAGGAATGAGCAGGACACAGATGAATAACACTCATAATAGTATTAGTAGCTGAGCCCCTGAAGCATTTTGTAGAGCATTTTGGGGGTCCAGGCGCCCTGATGTCCAGCTCTGGACTCCCCCAGCCCACCCTGTGCTGGGATTCGTGGCTTTTGGGGCAGTGGCTCTGGTCTAGTACTGCAGCATCCGGGCTCCCGCCTCTGCCTCTGTGACGGGCCACCTCTGCTGTCCCGGGGCCCAGAGTTCTTCCAGATTCCCTCTTCTGCACGTACAGAATGCTGGCCTGCTGTATACGTTAGGACCCTGTCATGTCTCCCTCATCACACCCCGTGAGCACTCTGGGCAGCATGCGGAGGCCCCCAGTACATATGGACATGCTCTGCTTCTGGGGTGTGTACTGGCTTGAATGCTGCCGCGGCAGGCAGGTGGGCACATGGGCACCGCCCCCTGGCAGAGGGAGATGTTGAGGCCTGGGGCTCAGGTCCGAGCAAAAAGCTATGGTGGGGGGTGGGCCAGGGGGCCGGTGGGGTGACGTTCGCGAGCCCCTGCCCACGAGGAGGTGTGTGTGTGTGTGTGTGCGCGCGCGTGTGTGTGTGTGTGTGTGATACACGTGTATAACTGGACAGCTGTGCCCATGGACGCAAACGCGTGTATGTGCCGCGTGTGTGTTCATGGGTGTACGTGCGCCTGTTGATGGCTGCATGCATGTGTCTGTGACTCGTGTGCATGCATGGGTGTCAGTCATGCGATTGTACACCCACGCACATATGTGTGTACATGCATTTGAGTGGCCCTGTGATGACTGCACGTGTGTGGAGGCACATGTATGACTCTGCACATGTGGGACACAGTTGTGGCTACTTGTGCATTTATACACCCAGGCATGCTTATTAGCTGTGTGACGTGTGCAGATGTGTACGCACACTGGTGTGCTTGGGGCAGGTGTGTGGCTGGTTGTTCACACTTCGGGGATACCCACGGTTCCACGTGGCATGCGTGTGTACCTGGGTACACCTAGCGCATATGGAGGTGGGTGTGGGTGTGAGTTGGCTTGGGTGGCACACACGTGTACATTTGTGCCTTTGTAGGTGGAGTTGTGGTGTTCGTCACGTGGCTGGGGCTGTGTGCGCCTCTCAAAGCAGGTGACTGGTGTTTCATGACCCAGGCCCGGGCCCCAGGCACCCTGGCCCCACGGACCATGGGGTCCCCTGCAGGAGTGCAGTCTCTCTCGAGAGACCCTCACCTGGGCCCCATGCCTGGTCAGAGCCCCAGTTCCTCCCTTCCTCTCGGCCTGAACTTCTGGGTGTGTGCTCTGGGTTTGCCCGCAGAGCAAGACAGCCTCGGGCAGCTTCAGGCAGCTGCACTGTGTGGCCTGGACCCTCGGAGGAGTTTGGCTTATGTCATCAGGTTGATGAGAGGCTGTCAGCCGACCGGGGGGGGGGGGGGGGGGAAGGCGGGAGTTTCGGGTGTGGTACTGAGTCCGCAGCCTGCCCCTGTGCCCTCCGCCACGCTCCTTGCTGGGAGGTGCCCTCCATTTGAAGGGATCCATTAAGAGAGACTCCATTCCTTTTAGAACATCCTTGTAAAAGTCGTGGGGGGTTGGTACCTTGAGTGAGTGTGGCCATTTTGCAGATGGGGAGACTAAGGCTTGGATAAGTGGAGTGGCTTGCTGAACGCAGAGCAGGGCTGACTCCTGGGCATTGCTGCTGGTGGACAGGCTGTAGTGGTAGAGTTGCCTGTCTGAGGGAGAGGCAGGACCTCCCTGTGCCCCCCAAGAACTGCAGCAGGCTCTTCCCACTCCACCCTTGCAGGCTAAGCCAGAGAAGCAGGGTCGGGAGCAGGAGCAGGGGTGTGGCGGCGTGAGGGGAGGAAGTGCCCCTGCAGGGCGTGAGGGGTGGGGGATGCTGGTGCAGGGCCTGCCGCTTGAGCTGCACACTCCAGGGCTTGCATGACCCACGCCTCTGCCTCCTCGGGTATAAACGGGTTGATGAGAGAAGCTTCTGAATAGGGCTCTTGCACGAATCCAAGCACACAGGGCACGCGGCGGATCCAGAGGCGGGCCTGGCCCACGTCGGGGCCCTGGGTGCGAGCCATGGCCCTGGACCTGTCAGCTGCCAGCCCTGGCGCCGCACCTACTACGCGCCGGATCCTGATATCCGCGCGTCCCGGCTGCCTGAGGCGGCGCTGCTGTGGCCCGTCCTCGAGAGGAGGCAGCTGAGGCTCGGAGGCGGAGGGACTTGAACCCAGGCCTGCTCTCGGGCTCCACACTCTCCAGCCTTCCTGGTGCTGCAGCGTCTTTGGGACCGTTTCACGGAGGGTTTCTCGGGGTGAGCTGTGGCCGTGCCATGCTTTGGAAACGGAGGCGCGTCTTTAAAGGCCCCAGGGTTGCCGAGGGCTGAGGATCGGAGCCCGGGAAGGGTCAGGAGCAAAGGGAGCCTTGCAGCAGGCTCTGCGGGGGGCACCCGGTCCCCTGCGTTCCCTGTGGCTTCAGCAACTTAGGGAGGGCCTCTTCCTTGCTCTCTTCTCCAGGGGCTGCAGGAAGCCCCCTCCAGGTGCCCGTGTTCCTGAGAAGATGGATTCTGCTGTGGTTCACGGGACACGGGTTTCTGGAGCGCCCAGCACGGGCACTGGGCCCAGATGCAAGACCCGTGCTTACCTGGGTGATGTGGCAGTTTCTAGCGGCCTGGCTACTCCCGCCATGCCCTTCCTGTTTTGGGCATTTCTTTTTTATCTAGATAAGAAGTTGCCGCTGATGCCCACAGAACCTCATGAATGCACAGAAGCTTCTATTCATCCGTCAAAACCCACCTTATATGTTCCTCCTGTTACCTTTCTGGAGACGCTCTAGCCCTGCTTTAGGCCTCGCCTGTACGCCACACATCCCTTTCTCTGCCTGGGCACACCGGTCTGTCACACTGTTCTTGACCGGCTGTTCTAATATGAGCCTTCCTGCAGGCATGGGCTGGGTCTCATTCATTCCCAGTGCTTTATTTTTTAAAAAATTTTAAGCTTATTCATTCACTGAGAGAGCGCGTGAGCAAGCGGGGGAGGGACAGGGAGGGGGAGAGAGAATCCCAAGCAGGCTGTGCACTGTCAGTGTGGAGCCTGACTGATTCAGGGCTCAAACCCATGGAACGTGAGATCATGACCTGAGCTGAAACCAAGAGTTGGATGTTCAGCTGACTGGGCCCCCCGGGCACCCCTGCCCCAGCACTTAATACAGAATGGGTGCTCAGGGAGTGTCTGGGGGGCTGCTCCATCCCCTCCCCACCCCATACCCATTCCTCCACTTGACCTGGCTCAGGAATCTCCTGTCTTCAGCCCCATGGTGACACGGTGATGTTCGCTCCAGCGTTGAGGTATGGCCAGGGCAGGGAGGTTCACAGCTTGTCAGGGGGCCGCCTGTCTCCCAGCAGCAGACCTTTCTGTCCCAAGCTTAGGGGTGGCCCTAATGGGACCTGGCCTTTGTCTGTCTGTCTTCTCAGAGTCTGGAGATCAGAGGGATGTTTTCTTTACGTGATCTTTCTGTGCCTCAGTTTCATGGTGTGTTAAATGGGGGCATGTCATTTATCTGCCTGACATTGTGCCTGTGTGCAATTTGAATATCAATAACCCGTGCTTTGTGCTCAATGCTGGGCTCCTAGTAGGTGCTCGATTGAGTGGTAGTCGTTACAGCGACAGACTGCCCCCTGATGTTCTGGCCCCCAGCCACACACTGAGGCTGCTGGTCTCAGGGTGTTGGCTGTGCACAGAGGGGGCTGAGAGCATGGCTTGTTCATGGGTGGGCTGGGCCCAGGGCTCTAGGCGGAGCCAGTTCTAGGTGCCAGCTTGAGCCCACCTACATACCCGCCGTCTGTCTGTCGTGGGGAGCCAGGAGAGGGGGAGTGGGCTGGCGCTCAGCTCCCCGCCTCCCTGCCGCGACACCAGGAGCCTGGGCTCTGAGTTCTGTTGTCAGCCACGTTTCCCAGGCTCAGGTTGCCCTCTTTCAGTGGATCTGGATTTGGGGATCATCAAAGGGGACTTGCTTGGCCTGTCCTGCCGGCTCCCCCCAGATACTGGGTGGTCTCCCTGAGTTTGGCTGAATCAGGAGCACCCAGCCTTTCCTGGGCCACGAGAGGACTTAGGTGTCCCAGGTGCACGCTGTGGGCACCCCGCCTTCCATCACACACAGTGGCCCAGACCCGACAGAGAGCCTTCTGAAGCCACTGGCCACCGTTCTCTGTCACCCCCTTCCCCCGGCTGGCCCCGGGCCACCCCCTGGGCGTCCCGAGAGCAGGCCCCACTGGTCCCAGGCTCGGGGCCTGCAAGGCCGGGCTGAGGCACAATGTCGGCCTTCACGGCCGGGCCGGAGGTCCAGCCTGCTGAATTCACAGCCACTGAGCTCCTTCTGCCACATGTTCCTGTTTTCCTAATAAGTCCTGGGTTGTGAGTGGGGAGGGAGGCGGGGAGGCCCCAGGGCAGCTCAGAAATAGTCACATGATTGTGAAATACAAGAATCCTAGAAAGGGTATCTCTGAGCGCCTCTATCTCCCCCCGCCCCCCCACTCCCTGGCTGGCGGCACCAGCTCTGAGGTAATTGCAGACACCAGCCAGCTCCCGAGCGGAGGAAGGCATCTTGGGCCTGGCGGCGTGGCCTGCTGGCGGAGCGCTGTGCCCATAGCCCTGCGCCCGGGAGGGGGGGGGGGCTGAGGGTTTGGGGGGGCCCGGCAAAGGAGAACACCGTGCGTTTGTTAGAACCGAAACTTGGCGGGCTTGCCAGGGACGCTGCAGGGGTATTGAGGCCCCTCTGTTTGTTTCCAGCGTGGGGAGGGCTTGGGGGGGGAACCCTGGCGCGCCCCCCCACCCCCACTCTGGGGCCCTGGATTGGCTGCTGGGCTGGGCAGCTGCCTGCTGTTCCGGAGACCTCTATTTATAATCTGTTCTGTTTTTTTTTTTTTTTTTTTTTTTAATTTCTCCTCTTCTCCGTCACCCTGCAGAAGAAGGCGGAAGCTGCACATCGGATTCTGGAAGGCCTGGGGCCTCAGGTGGAGCTGGTGAGCTGGGGGAGGCTGGAGAGGGGCGGGAGGGGAGAGGTGGGCAGGGAGGCAGGTGGGCGTGGAGAGGAAGAAGGAAGTCGGCTGTTGCCAAGGCTGCCCTGTCCTGGAGGAGGCAGGAAATACAGGCTTCTGATAAGGGGGCTGGCCGATGGGGGCGGTGGGGGCTGTGGGGGGGGCTGGCCGATGGTGGGCGGTGGGGGCTGGGGTGGCTGGCGCCCCTACAGGCAGAGCACACGGTGGACTCCCGCCCACTTGGGCTGTAGCTTCGTATGGGAGCCCTTGTTCCCGGCCGGGTGATCTCTGCCACTTCAGAGTGGTGTGGACCCAAGCCTGGTCTCCTCACCTGTGACATGGAAGTAGCATCCGTGTCCCACTGGGTTACAGTGAAGATTACCTGCATGAGCCTCTGCAGGCAGTTAGCCAGGGCACCTGGTGGGCAGCAAATGCCGAGCGCCTGCTAGCATCTTACTTGTGGTACCTGTGTCGGTGGCCTTTTCCTGATGGGAAGTTGCCACGTCTGCCGCAGACCTGGGAAGCAGACCCCAGGCCTCTTCTTTGTTCAGGCCCTCTGTCACCTTCATGTGTCACCAGAGATAGAAACAGAGGGAACGCGGAAACTCTCAGCTGGTGGGAGGCCTCAAGCCCCAGGGGGAGTGGTCGGTGTCCCCTGGGCAGGCTGGCGCGGAGCTTTGGGGCAGCACGTGGGGACACACACAGGCTGGCTGTGAGGGTACCGTGCACGCGGCGTGCCCGGGGTATGTGTGCATGCTCGCACACGGTAACGTCTTTTGCACTGGGAGCCTAATTTTGAACTCTGTGCCACCACGTGTTTGCGGAGTGGCCCCGGGAAGAGGACTCGCTTTTCTTTTCTGTGAAATGGGAAGACTGGGGTCTTTGGCGGGGGGGGGGGGGGGGGGGGAGGAGTTCAGTGAAGTGATGCTCCGTAAGGCTCACCTCGCACACCCTTGTCCTGCACTCGGCTGCCACGAACACGTAGGAGGGTTGAACTCTTCGTCTTGTCCCTGGAGTTTTTTTTGTCAGTGGTAGCTGCTCCCCAGCCTGGAGCCCATATGCTCAGGCCACTGTGAGACATGGAGCGGCTCCCGGGCCTCCCACAGGCAGAGCCGGCAGGCAGCAGGGACTCCCGAGGCATAGGTGCAGAGCCTCTCGGCCCCTCCCCCCTGCAGTGGGTGGCAGGCTCCTGTCCCATTCTGGGGGCTTGTTTTCTTTTTTGGGCATGATTTCTGGGGTCTCTCTAAGACCCTCTTTTTTCTCAAATAGCCTTTTTGAGATATTCCTATGCCACGCAATTCATCAATTTCAAGTGTACGGGGTGCCTGGGTGGCGCAGCTCTCGATTTCAGCTCAGGTCATGATCTGAAGCTCAGGGTCTCGAGATGGAGCCCTGCTTTGGATTCTGGGCTGACCATGGAGACTGCTCAATGTTCTCTTCCTCCCTCTGCTGCTAGTATGTGTGTCTGTGCATGCGTGCGCTCTCTCTTAAAACCAAAGTGTACACGGGGCGCCTGGGTGGCTCAGTCGGTTAAGTGTCCGACTTCAGCTCAGGTCATGATCTCGCAGTTCGTGGGTTTGAGCCCCGTGTCGGGCTCTGTGCTGACAGCCAGCTTGGAGCCTGGAGCTGCTTCAGATTCTGTGTCTCCCTCTCTCCCTGCCCCTCCCCTGCTCATGCTGTCTCTCTCTCTCTCAGAAATAAATAAAAAACATTAAAATTAAAACAAAAGAAAGCGTACAGTACGTTGTAGGATATTCATGGGTGTGTGCGGCATCTCTATAGTCCGTTTCAGAACATATTACTATCTTAGAAAGAACTCCGTGGCCTTAACTATCACCTCTTTATCTTTCCATTCCTGTCCTGTCCCCACCACCCAGCACTAATTTACTTTCCATCTCTGTGGATTTGCCTGCTGGAAAGTTCGTGTCAGTGGACTCACACACTGTGTGGCCTCTTTGACTGGCTTCTTTCACTCACCATCACGTCCTCCAGGCTGGTCCATGTTGCAGCAGGGTGGCCGTGCTTTCTCCTGGTGATGGCTCAGTACTGTCCCATTGTCGGGGTCCGCCGCATCTGTTCGGCCATTTATGCATAGACAGGCATTACGTTGTGCTTGCTTCGGGCCATTATTTTTATTTTTTTATTTTGAGAGAGAGAGAGGGGAAGAGCATGAGCAGGGGAGGGACAGGGGGAGAGGGAGAAACAGAACCGAAGCAGCTCCAGGCTCCAAGCTGTCAGCACAGAGCCCGATGTGGGGCTGGAACCCACGAACTGCAAGATCGTGACTTAAGCCCAAGTCAGACGCTCAACCGACTGAGCCGCCCAGGCGCCCCAATGCACAGGTTTTCTTTGCTCTTTGGTGTACACCCGGGAGTGGAATCGGTGGGCCATCATCATTCTGTGTTGAACCTCTTGAGAAACTGCCAGACTGTTTTGCGAAGTTGTGCACCATTTCCCATTCGCACTAGTAAGCTGCTTCTTGCCTTAGTTTCCTCTTCTTGACAACGGGGACGGCAGGACCAGAAGCAGTACCCAGCCGTTTCCAGACCTGGTGGCTCTCCTGTCCCCTTTCCTGACCTGATAGTCCCGGGGCCTCCTGAGTGCAGAGGAGCATATAGCCTGTTGTGTACAGGTGCCTGAGGAGCACCAGTGAGCTGGGCAGGGCATCTGGTGGGCTCAGTCTGCGTGATTCTTTTCTGGGTCCTCACGGGTGAGGGGTTGTCCTCTCTTGGGGCCTCAGAGCAGAGCCATCCCAAGGCTAGTGGCACCGGAGGCCACGGTCTGCAGTGTCTGGTGGGCTGTGTGGCCGTCACTGGAGTCCTCTCCAAGTCCATGGATTCTTAGCTCGGTGGCTTTTGGTGGGGCTGGGGAAGGGACTCCCAGTGACAGGGCACCTGCTTTGTGTCAAGCCTGTCCATTTTCTAGAGGAGACTCAGAGCAGTGCCTCGTTTAGGGTCATAGAGTAAGAGATGAGGCAGGGATGTATGCCGGGCCTGTGGGGTTGTGGCCAGCCGGACCTTCGCAGGTCTGCCCTCTGTCACCAAAAGGCCCCAGTGGCCAGAGAGGTGCGCCAAGGAGAGGCAGCTCCGTGGTGTGCCCAGTGCCCGGGCTCCTTCCCGGAGGGCCTGCTGCTGCCGCCCCTACGTCTGCAGCCACTAGGCCACGGCATGGGGGGGTGGTGCTCCTCTCTCACCTGCAGCCAGGGAGTCCCAAGCCCAGGGAGAGGCTGCGGGGCCTCAGGGACCCTGGTGGTGCTGTCCAACCTCGCTGCCAGGGGAGGGGGAAGCCTGGGCCAAGGAGAAATTTGCATTGGAAACATTGAGAAGGAAGAGAGATAGCCCAGGCTGGGCTTGAGTGTTCCCCGCCCCCTCCATCCCAGCACCCTTGGGACGGGACAGGATGGGGGCAGGTGGGGAGGCAATCGAGGCCCTGCTTGGAGGAGGGGGTGCTGGAGGGAGGGTGGGGACCACTGTGGCCCCCACCCCCTCTCCCCGCGGCTTTGAGTCATTGGCTTCCTTCCTGTTCAGAGGCGCTATTTTAAGAATGTGGTGTCACCAGAGGATTGAGGGCCAGGGCTGACACTTCATTTCTTAGCAGCTCAGTCCACCTGGGGTTGCTGGCTGCTCTCGGCCATCCCGCCAGCTGGCTGAAGTCAGGCCGAGGGGGACCCCCCTTCCTTCTCCCAGCTCTGCTCTCCTTGTCATTTCTGCTTTACGGCCTTGTGCGTCCCTGGCCTTGCGTGGTCTTCCTGCCCCTGGATTGTTTGGGCTGCGCCCCCAGTTTTAGAGGAGTTAGAGGTACAGAGAGGGTGAGATATGGGCCCAGGGCCTCTAGCCAGGAGGGTGGGCCTTCCCAGGGGTACCTGAGCATTCTGCCTGGGCAAGGGGGCTCCCCTCTTAGGTGCTGTGTCCCCCTGACGGGATTAGAGCCTGTGAGGTAGTGAGAGAGGCAGAGGAAAGCTGCTGTGGCTGTGAGGTCAAGGTCACCTCAGGGCCGTCATGTTGGAACTTGTCTCCTGGGACACAAGGAGGCTCTGCCTGTCCTTGCACAGGCCCCTTGGTGGGTGTAGGGGAGACCTCCTTTGGGCCCTGCCCTCCCCCCAGCCGCACACCAGCCATGGATGGGCCATGGCCTCTCCGACCCCTGTCCCCCTCAGCCCCCATCCCACTCGGGCTCCAGAGAGGCTGCCCCAAGGAGCCTGTCCCCATGTAACAAGCAGCCTTCCAGGACTCGGCCCGGACACCTCCCTTTTCTCCCAGGACTCAGTTTACTTTGAGGAGTGCTTGGTGCTGCCTCCTTCAGGGACAGCACAGTGGTTGGAGGCAGCGAGCCGCACAGACTTCTCTGAGGTCTTCTATGGAGGCCCGCTGCTGAGCCACCGCGGGCCCGGGGTGCTCTGTCCTCAGCTTACCTCCCGGGCAGGCGGCCGCCGGTGAAAGTGGATTTGGCGGGTGACCAAATCAGCACATGCTGACCGTGCCGGTGCTGCCCTCTCAGAAGCCCATCTCCTGTGTTCCGGCCCATCTCATTATGTAGAAGTAGGCCCCGCCCCACCCTTCCCGCGCTCCCAGAGTGTCTGCGTGTGGTCCTTCAGCCCCTCCTGGTCCCTTTAGGCCGTGGAGACATTGTTAGTTGCCATCTTAAAACCAAAACAACAGAGATCAGTCACCAAGTCTGACATTTCCTGGGTTCCTCGAAAGCCTTGTGAGGTAGTTCCTATTTGCTGTGTCCATTTTCTGGATGAGAAAACAGAGGCCCAGCGTGTTGCCCTAGGTGTCTGAGGTCACACAGCTGGCGAGGGAGGTGCCATCTCTTCAGTCGAGGCATGTGTTCCTGGAACCTGAGCAGGAGCAGATGGCCACGCCCACCCCTACGTGGCTTGTGTTTTCCAGGCACGTGGAAAGCACCCGATACAGAGCCACCCGGGCCAAACGTGCATGTTTAATCTTTGGAATTTGGCCCAGGAGTCTCTGCGGGGCCCCTGCTGCTCGGAGGGGCTGTTGGCCTTCTGTGGTAATGCCCTGTGCAGCGAGAAGTCCCGCAGCGAGTGTCGCTGTGGGCCTGGGGTTGCCCTCCGGTTCAGACCCACAGTGGGGTTCACACCTCTCCGCCTCCCTCTGAGCACCTGGGAAGGCAGCCTGACCCGGCTTGTACCAGCCATGGGGTGGCTGGGGGGCAGCTGAGCTCGGAGCCTGGAATTCATGGAGGCAGGGGAGTGTGTGGCACTGGGGGCCGGGGGGGGTTGACCTTGTCATCAGCCAAGGCTGCCGGGGATGCCCAGGGGTGTGGGGGCCCCTCCTTGAGGACCCTACCCTGCCTGCGGCACACACGAGGCCTGTTTCTGGGGAGGCAGGTTGTGCCCTGTGGCCATGCTGCCTGTGCGTGGTCCCCATGGGCGGGGACGATCAGGAGGTGTGTCAGCCGGGGTCCCTGCGGAGACATTCCAGGGCAGAGATGTTGGTGCCCTCTTCCCTCGCCCGGTGGCATGCCCGTTCTCCCGCAGTCGTCCACGGCGGCGCTGGGAGGCTCCTGTGCGTGTGGGCTGATGGTGAGGGAGAGGGTGATGCACATGCACCCGGGAAGACCCCCAGAGGGCACAGGCGCTGGTGGGCAGCAGAGCCCTGCCTCCAGTACCAAAGCGGGACTGGACTCTAGTTGCAGCTCATTCCTTACTGGCTGTGGGCACATATTTTAATCTCTCAGGGATGTGATTTTCTCCTCCGTAAAATGGGGATGATCATTGTATCCGTTAGCTACCGCTGCGTGACAGACCAACTCCAAATTCAGTGGCCTGAAACAGCCACCGTTTCCTGTTTTCCGTGAGGGTCGAAGTCAGGCGAGCATTTCTGCTGTTCCGCGGGCAGCTGGGTCTCGGCGGGGGGGGGGGGGGGGGGGGGGGGGGGGGGGGGGGGGGGTGCGCTGTTATTGCTCTGCTGCCGGCAGGCCAGGCATGTTCTCTCACCAGGAGCAAGTGAACAAGGGAGGAAGCAGAAATGCACACATGTGTTTTCGAGCCTCTGCTTTCATTAAGTTCGTGAGCATTTCATTGGCCAGAGCAAGGGCATGTGGATAAAGGAGGCAAGAAATATTGGCACCATTGCTCCATCGCTGCACCCTGATGGCGACAACAGTGACACGGGCACCTCTTGGGCATTTCTGTCCACCAGGCGCTGGGCTGAGAGCTCCACGTGCGCGGCCCCGTTTGATCTGCACGACAGCTCTGAGCTCAGCCCCCTTTCCAGCTGCACTCCTGGGGCACAGGTGGCTTGTGTGAGTCCCCCAGGGACGGCGGCCAGAGAGCATTAGGGCCAGGCTGTGTACCAGCTTGTGCCCCAGCCCCTGCACACTGTGCTGCCGGCCAGGAGGGCGGCGCCCGGCAGCCGGCTCTGCTCCGGGGCTCCTGCACACACAGCAGCTTCTCTCTGTCCACACACTCACTGCCGGCTGTGGGCCCAGGGCCCTCCTCGCCTCTCTGTAGTGTCCCCGCCGCTCACGAGCCCTCCTTTCCCTCTTCGTCTTTTGGGCGGGGCACATTTGGTTTGATTCCGATGCGTCTTCGCCACCGTATAGACGTTCCGGCGTCGTCTTCTGGAGGAACACAGTGCCCGACGTTCCCAGGTGCCTGCAGGAGGGAAGGGGCTGGCGGGCACACTTGGCTTCACTCCTTAACAGGTGTCGTCCCGGCGCCCTGCAGAGTGCACGCACTGGACATGGGTCCTCACCGTCCCGGCCCTTCCTGTCCTCCCCTTGACTCACAGGCTTCTGGCAGCATCTGGCCCTTTGCTCTGCCAGGTGCGGGGGCAGGTGGTGCCTCACTGTGATCTGCGCGGCCTCCGACAAGCTGAGCAGCTTTCCGTGTCGGAGCCTTGCTGGTCTGCAGTGCCGGGCACGCTTGCAGGTCCTGGCACCACGGCTGTGCCCGGAGGACTATAGCCTGTGTTCTGGTTCATGCCTGCCAGCGGCTGGCCCATTAGAGCTGGGGCCCGGGGCCCAGGGTGGAGGCTGCCCAGGGCGGCAGTGGGGGCCCAGGGCCCAGGGCCTGGGGCGGAGGCAGCCCAGGGCGGCAGTGGGGGCTCGGGGCCCAGCTCTGAAGCTCTTCCCTCTCCTTCCTCTGCAGCCGTTGTACAACCAGCCATCCGACACCAGGCAGTATCATGAGAACATCAAAATGTGAGTACTTGCTGGCAGCTTTGTGGACGTGTGATGGCCGGGGGGACAGGCCGTCTGGCCTTGGAGCTCTGGGGTGAGATGCGGGTTCTCAGCTCCCAGAAGGGCTCCCACACAGGGCCAGGTGCTGGACAGGGGAAGGGGGCAGTTTAGGCCCGAAATCTGGGCCAGGTTAGGGCTGAGGTCAGGGTCAGAGCAGGCCCAGGGCAGGGGGTTGACGAGGAGTGGCCCATGAAGCACGGGGACATGGCCTGGAGTTGGGGCTGCTGGGTGAGGACATGGGGTGCACAGCCTGGGGAGACGGCGGCGGAGGCTGCGGGGCCTCCTCCCATCTGGGCGGTGGAGGCTGTTCCTGGTGAGCGTGAGTGTAAGATGATGGGGGTGGCCCCGGGGCAAGTGGGGCCCTGTGCTTGGGGTTCTGGTGTGAGCACACCTGGGAGTGTCCTGCGGTGTGCTCAGGGGGCCCTGTGTGCCACAGTCCGCTAATCCAGCCCCAGAGACTTTGGACGTGGCCAAGCTGGCAGCTCCGTGGTAGGGCCTTTTTCAGAGGGATGTTAGCAGTGAGGAAATACCAGTGAAGTGCCACGTGGCGCTGGTGTGGGCTGACCTGGCATAATGGGGCAATGAGATTGTGCTGGAGGCGGGTGGCTTCGTGTCTTCAAGCTGGGAGGGAAGCATCAGGAATACGGCTGCCAGAAGGGGGTTGGCTTTTTTGGGGGGGATGTATTAAGGGAACATAGTCTGTTTGGTGGAGGAGGTGATATTACCTCATGTTATCCAGGAGCCCAAAAGGTAAAAGGCGCTGCAGGCTTTGGGCTCCTTGAAGAGCCTGTGGCTGTGAACGCTCAGGGGCATTAGGTTGGAGGCAGACTTGTGGCAGAACTATTCAAGGTTCATTATTGTGAGAGGGCGCAGACTTTTTTGTGTGACCTCAGAGGGCGGTACTTAGCTTGTCCAATGGGCAGATTAGCCTGGTCTGATTGTTCCAAGCTCCCCTGGAGTGGAATCATGGGGTGGTCATTGCAGTAATGAGCTTTCCATCCTTGGAGGCAAACAAACCTCTCCGTGGTCTTTAAATATCCACCGGTGGTGGTCTAGTTGACGGGGACATCTCTTCTTTTTAGTTTCTGGATTTGAGTGACTGGTCCAAGCTCTGGTCACCAAAATGGTCACCCCTTACAGCCTCACAGGCACCGTGGGCGAGTCCCTGTTGGCCTGGGGTGGGCCAGGGCCAGGCCTGCTAGGGCTGTGCTTTCGCGTGGCCTCGTGGGTGTGGCTGCTGCCTGGGTACCAAGTCCCCCTGGCACAACACAGATTATTTTCCACTCAGGCCACCTTCTGTGCTGCCTGGGACCTGCCTCTCCCTGGCCACTGCTGGTGGTGGGAGAGGGTGGGGACGGCACAGGGGCTTCTAGGGCCATCCCTGCTGGTGTCGGGCGTGGCAGCGGGGTGTTTCCTTCTGAGCAGGGCTGCTGGGAGCATTCACTTCTTTGTTCTTTATGCACTCAGCATGCATTTATTGACCACCTACTGTGTGTCAGGCCCTCTTCTAGAACTAGGGATTCAGCTGTGAGCAAAGAACAAAGACCCATGCTTTTCATCAGACTTGGTCCAGTGGTGAGAACGTGCACGAAAGAAGCGAGAGAGTATCCCGCTAACAAGTACTGTGCGGGCCGCCGGGGGCTCACTCGGTGGAGCGTCTGACTTTGGCTCACATCATGATCTCGCAGTTCTTGGGTTCGAGCCCCGCGACGGGCTCTGTGCTGCCAGCATGGGGCCTGCTTTGGATCCTCTGTCCCCGCCCTGTCCCTCTGCCCCTCCCCCGCTTGCACTCTTTCAGAGGTAACTTTAAAAAATTATTTAAAAAAGTACTGTGGCCCCATAGCTGTCTTAAGCTCTTTATATGTTGCTCACCCAGTCGTGTTTTCCCTTTTGCCGCACTGGTTTTTATAGTCATCTCATACTGACGTCTTACATGAGGTTTTCACTGAAAAGTGAGTAATATTTTAAGCTGAACGTGATTTCTGTTTATTAAAACAACCATAAAGTCCAAACAAGGAAGGAAAAAGGTACAAGTAATATCAGCAGATGTTAACACATTTCTGTTTAAGTAGAATAAAGCTATAAACTCACTGAAACCCAAAAAATAGGACTATTTTTGCACCCTCCCCCCACCCCCCAGTCTTCATCAGAGAATGGCTCTGGTCTGTTGCAGTACATTCTGGCTAAGTAGGTGACTGCCTAGTCAAATTTGTTCCAAATCCAAATCACAGATGGACACGTTTTAAGTTTAAAAAGTGGAGACGAATAAATTTAAGATTTCTTACGTAAGTGGAGAATTTTATGTTAGAAAAATATATCTGTAAGCAAATTATTTGAACTGATTTATCCTTAGAATTTTGACTTTGTTCCTAGTTTTCCACGAAGATCATAATGACCTGTATTTTTAATTTCAGTGCGATCATTTGCGAATTAGTGCAGGCGCTCACTTGGAAGAAGGCTATGAGGATGGAGAAAGAGATGGCAGAAAAAGTGGGGGGTGGCTTTAGCCAGGGGGTCAGGGCCAGACCTGACAGTGGAGGGGACACCGTGGGGTTGAGCGGTAGCAAGCCATGTGGGCCTCCCTGGCATGTGGAACAGGTCGTGCAAGGGTCCTGGGGCTGGACTGAACTGGTGAGATCCCAGGGAAGGCCAGCATGGCCCAAGGGCCAGCTGAGGGAGAGAAGGTGCTGGCCAGATCACCAGGCTGATGAGTTCAAGTCCTGTTAACTGCGTGTGAAGGGAGGCCGGCAATGAGGTTTATGCTGGGAGGCGAGGTGCCGGGGTTTTGCTTTCAAAGCTCTCTTGGCTGCCGAGAGAAAGGACTAGGGCCGGAGAGACCTTGGTGGAGGAGCCCGCAGCCCTCCAGCCAGTCATTGGTGGGTCTGGGAGCTACGGGACCTGCCAGGGGTGCCGTGTGGAGGGCCAGGGGCAGGGAGGTCCTGTGGCTGCAAAGATCGGGGGCCCGGGCAGCCGTGGGGACCAGGAAACCACTTCCTGAGATGGGAGTCGGTGGCGAGGGGCCGGCTGGGGGCCATGAGCATCTGGCCCTTGTGGCTAGCCTGTTACTCTCAGTGCCTCAGTTTCCCCACCTGTGAGGTGGGAATAAGTAGCTTCTGCCTCCTAGGGCTGCTGAGGCTCCGGTGACTTACTGCCCCGAGGCGCCGAGCTCAGTATCAGGCACATGGGATGTGTCCTGTGATTTTTGTCCCTCTTACGACTTGATCTGCCTGTTGCCATCATCTGTTCATCCAGCAAATCCTGAGCGCTTACTGTGTGCTCGGCGCTGTCTGGGCCTGACGTTCTGCGATCCGGGGACAGCTTGATGAGGACAAGAGACACCGCCCTTCTGTCCACCTCCCTCCTGCTGCTGTCAGTGGGCCAGGTGGGGGGGGGGGTTATCCCCTCCCCAAGGACCTTGCTATCACTTTAATTTCCCTGAGCGCTGGGGCTGTGCAGTTAAAGTTAATTTCACGCTTGACTTCCTGCCGCACCAGCAATTTCAGACGTGTCCACGTCACCTGTGCCCACCTCTGCCGCTCCCCCTCCGCCACCTGCATCGGTGGGCAGTGGAGGGGGGCTGCCCGCACCCCATGGGATCTCAGCCCCAGGTCTCAGGCTCTGGGAAGCAGGGGAATGGGCCAGGGTAGCCCCAGAGCAGACCAAATGGACACTCGGCCGAGGGGCTGGTCCCCCTCTGCCCGACCTGCCAGGACGGCTCCCCGGGGAACTCGCCGACTTCGTGAAGCGCCCCCGTGCGGTTCTGCGAATGGGCGAGGGGTTTGCAGCCCCAGGACCGTCGCTGCTCCCGTGCGCCCTGTCGTGGCCGTGCCTTTCCCAGCCATGCCCTTGTCTGGCATCAGACCCCAGGCACTGGCCGCGTTCCTCTTCTCTCCCCGGGGTCTGGGGGCCTGCTGGTTCCTGGGGTTCTCTCTGTGTCCCCCTTTTCTTGTCTGGATGCCCTATGTCTTCCCTCCTGCTGCCTCCCTTGGGGGTTGGCTGATTGGAGCCCTCAGCCCTGGGGCTGTGCGTGTGGAAAGGGCAAAAGGGCATCCGGGACGCAGGTGACTGTTACACGTTTTTGTGGGTTTGCTCTGGAAGTTCAGAGATGTTAAGTAACCTCGCCAGGGTCACACAGCCAGACTTCTAGACCAAACGGATATGCACACCTACATTGACACCTCTCCCGGGGCTCCAGTTTGAGCTCTGCCCCTCGATACCTGGTGAGCTTGAGCAAGTCGCGTCACTTTGCTTGTCGGTAAGCAGGTTTTGGACCATCTGTCACCCCCTCTGACAGGCTCTTGTCAAGGCATTCAGGGCCCTGCTCAGGCAGACTTTGCCGTCTTACCCTTCCCCTGCAGCTGGGAGTTTGGCTGTGCCTGACGCCCTTCCTCCCCCTTATTCTCTGGAACTCTGCTCTTGTTTCCCTCTGCTCACTTGATGTTTTGCTTCCTTCCAAGCCTCAGTTTGGACCTCTCCTCCTCCAGGAAGCCTACCCAATTGCCCCCCAAGCTTTCCTGTTTTAGAATCCCGTGGGCCCCAGGACCAGTAGCACCCAGGGCCTGGTCAGACGCTCCTTGAACCTCACAGTGTCCATCTCCTCATTGCCCCTCCCGGTTTTGTGTCTCCCCTGGCACAGCGACAGAGGATGGGGCCCGTACTTCTTACAGGTTGTGCGTTCTTATCAACTCGGACTTTCCCCGCAGACAACAGGTGTCCCCTGCACAAACGCCCCCACCGGCAAGCTCATCACATTGCTTGTCAGCCCCTCCAGAGCCCTCTTAGGGACTCTATCCCCTGGTTTTTGCCAGAAAATGTTCTCAGCAGAGTGACGATTAGTCTGCAGCAAGCTCTTTGCGTCCCCCAAAACCACAGCCCTCCTCGGGACAAAATAAACACCCCACAGACGTGTGCCAGGGGACGTGAGCAAGCAGCCGCTCACAGCTTGGGGGGGTTGGCGGCTGGAGGCACGCCGGCAAGGCCAGAAGGACGGGGACAGGGCTGGCAGGGGGAAAGGGAGCGGCAGGGCCCTGGCCAGTGGGGGAGCCCATCGCCCTTCGGAAGGGGCGCTCAGGCCTCGGCCCGGGGCTCTGGCCAATAGGGGCTGTGCCAGCGCCTGATCTTTTAAGAGAACCTTTAAGTTCTGCTTTTTATGCAATGGTGTCTGGTTTTCAACACCGGCAACGAATCCAGATGGTTTAGAAAGCACTGCAGTCCAAACAGTGCTCCCGTGGCCGGCTCTGCTTGGGGACTGTGCCCATTCGTGGCCTGCAGACTCGACATTTGTCCTCTTTGGCAGAGTCACTGGGCACCTCCGGGCGCCAGGCACGGTGCTTGCTTTGGAAGGAAGGTCGGGTCGGCCAGGAGAACCCCCGTCTGCCCTGTAGCAGCTGCGGTGGATGGGGGCAGCTGCACGCGTCCCCCCTGCCCCCACGGGGACCTCTCTGCACCCAGTCCCTTCCAGCCCTTCCAGCCCGGGCACAGCCGCCCTGCCCACTAAGATTGGCCGTAGCTGCAGGTTACCCCCTGCTGGGTGGCTGGGGGCCCCGGGGGCTTCCTCTCCCCTGGGGGCTAGCCGTCCGGAGTCCGGGGGCCATGGGGCCCTGATCTCTTCGGGGGAGGAGCCCTCCGTGCCCTTCCCGGCTTCTGGTGCCTCCCCAGACGTCCCTTGGCTTGTGGACACCTCACAGTGCCCTGTCTCTGCTCTCATGTCCCCCCCCCCCGCCCCGCATCTCCAAGGCCACGTTTCGCCTTTGTAGACGGACGCCAGGCCTAGGGGGTGGGGCCGCTCTGACGGCCCGGTGCTAACTTGATGACCTCTGGAAGGAGGCGGTTTCCAGATAGGGTGGTATCCTGAGGTCCCGGGGTTGGGGCCCCAGCATCACTGGGCAGGGAGGGGGGACGCATTTCCATTTGTGACCTGCACACATGCTCCTGCAAGCTCTGAAGAAAGTTGTTTGGTTTCACCAGGGCCTTTCAGCATAGATCATGACCTTGTGTTTTATTTTCTTACGTATTTCCTGTAAAACAGCTAGATTTACAGAAGGTGGCAGAGACAGTACTGAGGACCTCCTGCATCCCCAGCAGCCAGCGTCCCCGAGGGGGAGATCTGCCGGGACTGAGGGTGCGCTTGTCAAAATGCAGGAAGTAACGGCGGGACGGTGCTCTGGGCCGACCCAGCCGCCGTCCTGGGGCTTTTCCAGTTTGTCCACGAAGGTCCGTCTCCTGGTCCCGCATCTGATAACAGGCTCCCATTTTGCACTTCGTCCTCATGTGTCCTTGGTCCCCGGGCGACGGCTTCTCCGCCTCGGCCTGGCCCTCCTGACCCTCACACTTTCGAAGGGTAGCGATCAGGGGTTTTGTCCAATGTCCCGTGACTTGGGTTTGCTCGGTGTTTCTCACGAAAGGGCCGGCGTGGGTTTGGGGGAAGAGCCCACGGAGAGGACGAGCCGCCCTTCCCGCCACGGCAGGTCGGGGGCGCTGTGTCCTCTGTGCGTTGGTGTGTGGTCCGCACGTGCTCCGTGCTTTAGAGCACGTCGTGGGGCCGGCCTGCCGTCCCGAGAGGGGAGCCTGCCCTGCAGGGGATGTCGGAGAATTTACGGACGGAGTTAAAACTGCCAAGTGGCTGGGAAATATTTGAGGGAAGATGCTTTGAGGCCACGCAAACGTCCTGTTCGCAGAGTTTTGCCAGTTAGTGTAACACTCGCACGCGGGTCTTGCCCACGGCAGGTCGGGCTGCGGTGCTGTAGCGACACCGCCCCGTTTCCCGCATCCCTTCTACGTTTGTTAATTGGAATTCTGCTAAGGCACACTCGCTCCTTCGTCCTTGTTTATTTATTTGTTCGGTCATTTATTTATATCGGCGCGGACTCCCGGATATTTATTCTGTTCCTGGGGTTATAAGCTGGCACCGCGTTATTTATCCTGCTGCTCTGAGTCTCCTGGCTTTGGCAGTCAGAAGCGCGGGGTGAGTCTCGTGTCCTTCCGATCTTTTCATTCTGATTTGTTCTTCTTCATTTTAGCCATACTCCAGAGAGAAGTGGCTTTTTGTTAGAAACCAGGGCCTCCGTGCTACCGGCTTGCTGCTCTGGGCGGTCCCTGCTTCTCGGCCTTCTCGGCTGTGCGTCTCTTTACCTTTTCACCTCCCCTCCCCTCCCTTCCTCTCCCTCCTCTCCTCCCCTTTGCTGTCCAGCCACATGGGGCTTCTTCTGTTTGTTCTTCAAGTTCCCTGAGTTTGTCCCCACCTCAGGGCCTTTGCAGTGCCCTCTACCCAGAGTGCCCTGCCCTCTGGTTCTTTCCACGGCTGGGTCCCTCTTCCCGCAGCTGAGATGGCTTGGGGCCGTCTCTGACTTTTCTGCACTCCTGAACCTGAAGTAGCTATACCTTCCCTGGCCACCCGGTCACTACCCCGCCACCCTGTTTAAATTCCTGAGTCAGGATTTATCTGCAGTATTTTTCTTACTGTCTTGGGGCCCCTCTCAGCATCCCCTCTGTGAGGTCTGGGGACTCTGCCTTGCTCGAGACTGTGTCCCCAGTGCCTAGAAGAGTACCTGCATATAGTAGGTGCTCAGTAAACATTGACTGAGTGACTGAAAACATGATGTAATTGCACCCATTTTTCAGATGAGGATGTTGAGGCTGAGATTACTTACATTCTTTGTCGTGGAATTAAGTTTTCTGGTCTCAGCCTGTGTGACTGAGGACCCCCAGTGGCCACCCTGACGGGCACAGGGCAGAGGAGGCTGAGGTCAGCGGTGAGGCCTCAAGGGGGAGAGGGCGGCTGACGTGAGGCGAGGATGAGCCCGGGAGCCAGGGACCCACGCCACTTCAGGGGGGTCCGTGGGGGCTCTGAGTGCTGCTGGGGTCTGTGGGCGTTCTGGAGATGTGGTGCCACCCACACGCTCACTGTGGCCTCTCCCTTCTTGTTAAAAGGTGACATGCAGCTAGTTAGCGGCCCTGGACTGGAGCCATGGTAGTGAGGATACTGGCTTCCTGCTGGAGGTCTGCATTGAGCCCTGGGGATGGGGGGGCCCATCATTCGGCCTGGGACAGGTGTGGTGGCAGACCCTGAGGACAGCTGGGCCTGGTGGTGGTGCCTGTGTGCGGGGGCCTGGAGGCAGTGACCCTCCCTGGGGCCCCTGTGTCCTCTGCCTGCCCATAAGGGCCTGGGGACAGCCACCACCTCTGCCCTGCTCCTGAGGCTGGGGTGCAGGGTAGCTCTGGGAACCTCCCAGAGGCTGGCGGGGGCATCATTATATCTTTTCCGTGGGGCTAGGTGCTCCTGGGAACACGAGGGGGAAGGAACACCCCTCCCCTGGGAAGCTGCCGCCACTGCCCCCCAGATCGGGGCAAGCAGGTTTGGGGGGCCGAGCACATTTGGGGGGGGGTGAGCACGTTCAGTGGGGGTGAGCATGTCCGGGGGCCCCAGCTCCCAGCCCCCCCCCCCCGGGCTGTCTGCTGCAGCACTCGCTTGCGTGGGGAGGAGCTGAAGGAGGGGGGCTTTCTGAGGGCCCCTACCTGGCCGGCAGCTGCCAGCCTGTGCCGCCCTGCCCGGGTGACTTCCGCTGTCACAAGCCGGGTGGCCTGCAGCCCAGAGTGCCATGCTGTGCTGGAGCCGACCCGGGGGACAGCTGTGTCAGGGTGGCCACAGGTCTCAGGTCCAGTCTCTCTGGCCTCATTCCTGGTCTGAGCCTGTGCATTTCTCTGTGGCCAGTTTTCCAGAAGGGATCCTGGGTGCGCGTGGGGGGCGGGGAGCGCCGACACCCTACCCCCGGGGACCATTCTTCTGCGCCGTGCTCAGTCTGAATGTGGACGAGGGCACCACGGGGAGAGGAAGGACGCACACTGGTGGTTCGTGGCTCCCTCTGGAGTGTCTCTTAGCCCCCCGTGAACCGGTAAAGGGGCAGACTTAGGGCTTGCTCTCAGGAATCAGCTCAGTGAAGGACAAAATATCGGAAAGTCTGCATTACTGACCTGCCCCATTTGCTGTGTTCTTCCCGCTTAGAAACCAGGCGATGCGGAAAAAGTTAATCTTGTACTTCAAGAGGAGGAACCACGCTCGGAAACAATGGGTAAGCCCTCCTCGGAATCTCCCCGGTCGCTCCCCTGGGCCACGCTTCCTGGAGAGTCCGGGCCACTTTGGGCCGTGCCCACCAGACCTCCTGGTCTGCAGCTGTCGCATCGCTGCGTGTCCAGGCCGTGGACCGCGGCGGAACGGGAAAGGGGAGCGGCTGCTTTGTTGAAGCTGAACCCGGGGTGCGGCTGCCCAGCTGCGCCTGGGGCCTGGAGTTCTGCCTCTCCCTTTGCCGCCTGGGAGGGGAGAAGGCAGCATGTTGGCGAGGACTGGTGCCTTGTCAGAGGACCCTGCTTTCCAGGCAGGGAGAGAGCTTGTTGGAAGAGGAGGGGCTGGGGGCGGGCTGTGCGCTGGCGGTCGCGGCTGCACGGAGGCCCCTTAGATGTGGGGTCTTCCCAGCTCCGGAAACGGAGGCGTCCAGCAGCAGCAAGCCTCCCTAGGCTGCACCGGCGGGCAGCGGCTGCGCCAGAGTGACAGGCACCACCCCCACATCCCGCCACACACACTGCATCTCCTCTGGGAAGCCTCCCGAGGCAGGGCGGTGTGTGTGAGGACACGTGCTGTTGTGTTTGGGGCGGCTGTTTCCATCGCTGAGGCCCCCCGGGGGGGCAGTGATGGAGGGGGGAGTCACTCCATGGAGGGAAGAGCTGGCTCCCATGGGCTTAAATGGTACAGAAATTTGTAGGTGGAAAAGGCCACGAGGTGGAGTTCAGGAATGGTTTGATCATGGCTTACGTTCACTTCTATGTGGTTCCCCCCCCAACTCTGTATGTGCGTACATTGACAGACAGGTGTCCCTGTGGGAACTGAATAAATGCCTGCCGCCGATCGGAGGCATTAGGGCCAGAGAGAGAGCTGTCCTCCTTTCTCAGACCATCTCACCGAGGCTCTGATTGGACCACTTGACGGCATGGTCCCTCTGAACCAGTTTCTGAACCCACCCTGCTCTGGCCCCAGAACTCAGTTAGGTCCCAGAAGACAGGAGACACTTTTAGCCCAGATGCCGGGTGGCTGGGAACCTGGCAGGTGGCGTTCTGGACCCTGGGGGCCTTTGGGGGGGAGACTGCGCAGCCTTTCCTTTCCCGCATTCCTCAGACCCCTAGATTGACTGGATGGTGACCAGAGGTGGGGTGGGTGGGCGTCCCATCTCATTCATTGAGTTAAACATAGAGCGAGGACCTCCGAGACCCCATGGCACAGCGGTGGGCAGAGGAGACAGAGAGAAGTGCCATGTTGAAGGACAGGGTGGGGTAGGGACAGCCTGTGTGTCCTGGGCGGCACCCTCAGTACTGGATGGGAAGGACAAGGAAGGCCCAGCTGTGTGGAAATCTGGAGGGTCAGGCAGAGGCCACAGCGAGTGCAAAGGCCCTGAGGTCAGAACCAGCTTGAGGCGGCGGGGACAGCATGCAGGAGACAAGTCTGGAGTGCGGGTCGCGGTTGACACGAATGGTGTGGGAGCCAAATCACCTAGAGACACTTGCCTTCAACCGGGATGGACCATTCAGATTTTATTGTAAGTACGATGGGACCCTTAATTTACTCTTCTAAATGCGTTCTTAGTAAACAATACACAGTCTTTATTTTGAGAATTTTCAAATAGGAAATTTGACAAATACAGTGAAAACTACGTAGAATTGATTGTGGCTACTTGGCTGTGTGTGCGTGCACGCACGCGCAAGTGTGAACGTTGAACGCTGTTGTGTTGGACAGGTAGGAAGTAGGTGCGGGCTCTGGGACCCCTCTCGCGGGCACCTCTACGTCTGTCTCCTAAAGGATAGGAAGTCCTGTCGTCACCACCCCCAGGAACGATCAGTGTTCTCTGTGATCTTTCAGCCTTGGCCGCACTTACACCCCCAGAGGCCCCGTCTGGGAATGGGGTTCATTTTGGGCAGGATGAAGAAATTCTGATGTACATTTGAGAAGGATCCCCTGAGGTCATGTGGGGGCCCCTTGAGGGTGGGGTGGGGAAAGTAGCTTATTTAAAGACGGAGCAACTGGAAACTGGGAAACTCAGGGTGGCTCTGAGGCCGGGCTGAGCCCATCTCCAGAGAGAGGGGCCCCTCAGTTGCATGCGGGTGTGTGTTCAGAATGGTTCTGTTCTGATTTTGGGTAATGTTTGTTTACTTATTTTGAGAGAGAATGAGAAGGAGAGAGACAGAGAGACAGGAAGAGAGAGTCCCAAGCAGGCTCCATGTTATCAGAGAGGAGCCTGATGCGGGGCTTGATTTCGTGAACCTGCAGACTGTGACCTGAGCTGAAAACAAGAGTTGGACCCTTAACTGACTGAGCCCCCCGGGTGCCCCCCATTCCTGTTCTTCTGTAATGAGCCAAAAGACCCCGATGCATTTTTTCCAGCCTGGATGGGGAGGGGAGGGGGCCTGGTCCAGATGCCTCCCCCAGACCTCCCACCTGCACACCCCGCCCCTGTGGTGAGCCAGCCCCCCTCCAAGGTTCCAGGGACCACAGGTCAGCTGCCCACGCTGCCTGCACTCCTGCTGGGCCCAGAGAGCCAAGGGTTTGCCCCCAGCGGGCCAATTGACACCAACATAGGCCTCCCCGGCCCGCCCTGCCCTTCCCCTGCGAGGTCCGACTGGTGGGTGGGGGTGGTGTGAGGCTGTGTGTCAGCACAGGGGCCCAAGTTCAAGCCCATGCACCGTGACCTGCTGTGCTTGATCTGGGTGCGCTGTCTCACGCTGAGCCCCACCCTCCCCGCTCTGGGCAGTGGGGTGGGGTGCAGTGAGGATTGAGGTGCGTGCTTGCCGTGGCTCCTGGTGAAGCGGGCGCTTGTGACAGTGAGCGGGGCCGTGCAGAGTGGGGTCAGGTGGGAGGCGAGCCCAGCGTGGAGGGTGGGTGTTCCTGTGTCCTGAGGTCACTGTAACCAATGACCACAAGGTAGGTGGCTGAAGACGATGGAATCGGGTGCTCTCCCGGCTCCAGAGCCCAGGAGCCTGAAGTCGCCGTGTGGGCAGAGCGGCGTTCCCACCGGAGGCTCTAGGGCACATGCCAGCTGCCTCTCCCAGCCTCGGGGGCCCCGGTCCCTGCCGTCTCTGCCTCTGTACCCACAGGGTCAACCCCCTTCCCCTCTCTTACAGGGACACCTGATTCCGTGATTTAGAGCTCGCCCTCACCCATGACCTCATCTCAGTTCCTTTTTCAACAAGGCCAAGTAATCTATAGACTCTGGGTGCCCCCGTTCAGCCCTCCACAGCGGGCACTGCTCTGTTTTCCGCACAGTCCGCCTTTCCGCTTCCCCCACCGTGTCCCCACTTTCCTCGTCACTTCCGCGGTGTTGGAGGCGGCTGCAGGTTTGCTCCCCTCCCACATCCCCGCCCCTCTGAGTCCCCAGGAGCAGCCCTGGCCCTGCATCCGCAACTTGCTTCTGCAGCCCGAGGCTGAGCAGGATGGGGGTGGGGAGAGTTGTCGCTTGTCACCCTCAAGCCTCACCGACCTGAGGCGAGGAGGCCCGGAGCCCCGGCGCTCAGCGCAGCCAGCGTGGAGAACATTCTGCAGGTTCAGGTCCCGCTGGGCCCTGTGGAAGATGTGCCTCCCTGAGATCGGAGGGACACAGCTGGCTCCCACTGCCCTTGCCTGACGGCACCTCCTTCCCACCCCTTGCCGTCCCGTGGCCTGAGCCTGGGTTCCCCGGGTTCCAGGGAAGCCATTTCTCATCACCTCCCTGTGTGCAGCTGCATCGAGACACACTGGCCGGGCAGGAGGGTTTTAAATCTTGGCCCTGTTGCGCCTGGGGGGCTCCGTCGGTTAGGTGTCCGACTTTGGCTCAGGTCATGGTCTCACGGTTCGTGGGTTTGAGCCCCACATCACGCTCTGGGCTGACAGCTAACTCAGAGCCTGGAGCCTGCTTCCAATTCTGTGTCTCCCTCTCTCTCTGACCTGCCCCTGCTCACGCTGTCTCTCTCTCTCAGAAGTAAATAAAACATTAAAAAACTTTTTTTTTGGCCCTGCTGACCGTCTGGGGCAAAGCGTTCAGCTTCCAGCCTCAGTTTACTCCTCTGTTCGGTGAAGATATGAACACCCACTTCATCAGGCTACTGAGCAGGAGGCTTCACCCAGTTGCTCAGGGTGTGCATGAGGTGGGGGTGGGTGCTCAGAACTGTCAGCTCAAGCTGGCCCTGAGATCCGAATGGGACTACGGGGGGCCTTGAGTAGCCCAAACGATCCTGAAAAAGCACGACCAGGAGTAATGGCGGGAGTCAGCTCTGATTTCAAAGCATATTACCGAGTCACAGCACTCAGAGCGCTGTGGTTCTGGTGCGATGAGACACGAGCCCAGCGGCGCAGAGCGGACCAGCCCGGGAAGAGGGCCTCACGCCTGTGGGCCGCTGACCCTTGACCGGAGTCCAGATCCATTCAGTGAGAGAGGGTGGTCTCTTCAGCAGTGGTGCTTGGGCCGCCCCCACCTCCAGCCCCGGCGCGGAGGCTCATTCCAAGTCAATTGAAGGCCTAAATGCAAGAGCCGAAACCGTGAAACTCCTCGGGGAAAACCAGCGGTGACTCTCAGTGACCTTGGGTTTGCCCGCGGATCCGTGGGTATGACGCCGAACGCGCCAGCCGCAGGGGGAAGGCAGGCGTCAGGCATCACCTGAGTAGCTATCGGCAGCTCCCTCGGGGATCCGCCCCGTCACGAGGGGAGCCGGGCAAGGGGCCGACCTGCCCGAGCTCCGAGCCCCACCTGCATGACAGGGACGGTCGTCGTGGCCCGTGCGGGATTTGGGCGAGTCCGTCTGCAGGAGGGGCTCCGCTCTGCCCTGCGTGTGACAGAGACGTTCAGCCAGGGTCAGTGGCCACGACGTGGTCCTGGGAGTGAATTCTGGCTGCTGACGAGCTAGCAGCACGGGGAGGGGGTCGGCGTATTCTCGTAAGACGCACAGCCAGTGGTCGCAGGGGCACAGCGGCCCTGCTCCTGGTCCTCCGCGGAGACTCGCGCCTGGCGCCCTGCACCCTGGCTCAGCTCTGGCCCGGCCTCGACTGAGTGAGTGTGCGTGTGCGTGTGAGGGTTTGCTTCCTGCTCCGGGCAGTGGGCCCACCTCGTGGAAGCCCCGCCCAGCAGTCGTGGTCCTGGGGCTGGGGGCGGGGGGGTGGGGCGGCCGTCTCCTGCAGGGCATCGTCTCAAGGCGCCCAGTGTGCCGACACTGACCTCGACTTTTCCAGTAACTACGTTTTTTCCTCTGCTGGCTGGGGGACCTTCTCCCCCCATCTTCCCATCGGATGGGTTTTCTCACTGGTCCATCGGCCTGAGGACAGCCTCTCAGGCAGCAGTTGAGAGGGTGGGGCCGGTCCCCAGCTGTGATGGTGACACGGAGGGATGGCCCGTGCCCCTTGGGGGCTGTCCACACCACAGTGCCACCTTGGTGTGGCCGTTGTCTGCTGCTGGAGCCATGTCCTAATCTCCAGCGGGTTTGCGGAGCGGCCCCCGAGCATGTGCGGCACCCGAGAGCGGGGTCAAGTTCTCGCCCTCAAAGCTGGCCTGACCATGCCTTGGGGACTCTTGTGCCGCTGGGTTTGCTGAAGACCAAGGTCACAGGTTGCCTTAGGCTGAAGTACAGGATGGGGGAGGTGTCTGTCACGAGGACGGGAGAGGGGTTTTCTGATTGTGCTGAGGCATCGAGAGGGCGTTCAAGTGAGACTCCCAGACTGTGCCATCTGTCCAGCACAGCTGTTAGGGACCGGGAGACTGGGGTCTTAGGGGCGGTTTATCGCTCCCCACCTGCTCGAGGCCCAGGTGACCTTGGAGATGTTGAAGCCAGCCAGGCAGTGCTGCTCCTGCCTGGGCAGGGGTCTTTTATCTGAAGACACACAGCAAGCAGCACTGTGGTTAGACGTAGAGAGGAACTTCCTTGTCTGGCAGAGACATCAGAGACCCCTCCCTGGATGCTGCTCGCAACTTAGCATTGTGATCATGGCTGAGCGCAAGGCCAGGGAATGAAGAACTTTCCAGAAAGAGGATGCTTCCTAGCGGGCTGCCCCAAACCTGACAGACACCCAGAGTCTCACAGTGCCACGTAACTTCCCTCCATGACGCACGTGGCCTCTGTGTGCTGTAGCCCTTGCCACATAAAGAACGTGCCTGGGGGGACCAGGGTCTGAATTTTAAATGTTGCCGAATGTGATTTGAAGTTAGCCGCATGTAGCTGGGGGCTTTTGCATTGGACAAGCCCATTTCTAGAAGGAGGCCAGGCTGCTGGCCCGTCCCCCAGGGGAGGCGGCAGCCAGGCCCTCAGAGAAGCCCATGTGTTTCCCTGGGGCCTGGGTCGGCCCAGCTCTTCGTGTGATCCCGTGTGTGTGATGGCGTGTCTGCACGTCAGCCCGCCCCCATGGGCCCATGCGGGCGTGCGTGCCTGCGTGCTGCGCTGGCTGGGAGCACAGAGCCGGGAGCCGCCTGAAGAGGTGCTAAGTGGTGCTCCCCACACTGTGCTCCCCCAGGAGCAGAAGTTCTGCCAGCGCTATGACCAGCTCATGGAGGCCTGGGAGAAGAAGGTGGAGCGCATCGAGAGCAACCCCCGGCGGCGCGCCAAGGAGAGCAAGGTGCGCGAGTACTACGAGAAGCAGTTCCCTGAGATCCGCAAGCAGCGCGAGCTGCAGGAGCGCATGCAGAGGTGAGCCGGGGCTGGAGCCCGGACCCCTGCCCACCACCTCTGTCCCTCCAAGATGCGTCAGGGACCTGGGACCTGGGTCAGGGAAGAGCCCGGGCTGGCGTGCACAGCAAGCACAGCAGGGGCTGATCTGGCGACACAGGGGCCATATCAGGGCTCTGGACGTGTCACTCAGAGCCTGCTGAGCCTCAGTGCTGATTAGAAACTCAGACACGTGTTGGGAGAGCAGGCTGTCCTTCCCGTGTGCCACGGGCCGGCACCGCCCAGCTTCGCTCATTTACGTGGCCTGCGTGGCCCCTGAAGGGAGCTGAGCCTGAGATGCTGGGTGTGGGTCGAAGGCCAGGGGCCCGCCCGCCTGGCTTTGCAGCCAGATCTGCGTTCTGGTCTCCCCTGGCGGTCTGGAGGGCTGTGAGGCTCTGCCTAGGAGGGCCCAGCGCACAGTAGGTGCCGGGGGATGTGTAGCTGTGTTTTTGTTGTCACACAGCCGGGTGACGGGTGACAGGCAGTGATAATGCCGCTTCTAGTCTTCCTGGACGCGCGGTCCACCCGTCACGGGGCGCCTCCTCCCAACCCTGAGAGCCATGTGACGGGAGGGAACCAAGGCGAAGATCCACACATGGCTCTGCGTGGCTGGGCTTTTGGGGCATCTTAGGAGAGCAGCTGGCCCTGAGTGCCTGTCAGTCCTGGGTCAGGGTTAGGGCTCCATGCCCTCCCCTGCCCGGGCTGGTCCCTGTGGGTAGGGGAAGCCTGGCCCCTCTCCACCTCCCTCCCTGCCGCCTCCACTCTGCCCTGCCCCTGGGGAAGTTGCGGGCTTGGTCTGTGCACAGCCAGAGCCCGGCCGTCAGTGGCCTGGTGCTGAGTGTGTCCCTTTGGTCTCCAGCAGGGTGGGCCAGCGGGGCAGCGGGCTCTCCATGTCGGCCGCCCGCAGCGAGCACGAGGTGTCCGAGATCATCGACGGCCTCTCCGAGCAGGAGGTAAGAGCGTGCTGTGACCCTGGCCTCGGCTTCACTCCCCCTGCCCCCCCCGCCCCCCCCACTCGGCGGTGCCCTGGCAGGAAGCAAGCCCCAGTCAAGGGACTTGTCCCTGGAACGTGGGCAGAGCCAGGGTAGGGCACTGAGGTATGGTGGGAGTGGCTGTCACCTGCCTCCTGCCTGAGGGACAGGCAAGGAAAGGCATGTCGCTGGCCGTGGCCATGTGTCAGGGAGGGTCACAGCTGGAAGGGGGCTGGGGGAGGAGCACCCCTGCCTCTTGCGCCTCCCAGGGCCTCCCGTTGGCCGAGCCTGACCGGAAGCTAGAAGCGGCGGAGCCTGAGAGCTATGGTTTCTGTCAGCGTCTCAGTGCCCAGACTGGGGGCACTGGACCGTTCCCAGCACGCTGACCAAGTGAGCACGCTCTCCGTGTTCCCTGCCCCCCCACAGGGGGCCCGGGTGAGCCCTGCCGTGGTCATGGGGCCCTGAGATGGTCGGGAAGCAGGGAGAGGAGGCTTTTGCCCTGAGGAAGCGCTGGTACCCGCTGGTCCCTCCTGGATCTTGGGGGTCAAGCGTCTAACGTGCCAGACCCCCACCCTGCTTGTTCCCGACACTGCAGTGGACGTGAGGGGGTCTCGAGGAGGAGGGGAGCGTACGCCTCTCCCCGGGGGACTGGGGTCCAGTAGTGTGTGGTTCAGTGTGGCCGCCTCCAGCGGCACGCAGCCTTTTAAGTCCAAGTTAAATGAAATAAAGCTGAAACTTCAGTTCCGTGGTCACACTGGCCGCACGATCGGTGCTCGACAGCCATGTGGGTTGGTCGCTCCCATGCAGGACGGGGCAGGTGGCTTCCAGACAGCGCTGTCCCAGACTGCTGATTCTTCCGTGTGACACTTAGGAGTCCTGGGGGACAGACGCCCCCTGTAAACTGTAGTTTTCCAGGCCCTCTCCCAGGAGGTTCTGATTTAGGTCATCTGGGGGGAAGCCCAGGACTCTGAGTTTTTACCAAGTTGCTCACATGATTCTAATGCAAATAATTCAGACTGTCTGGCCAGGGAGAGAGAGCCGCCTTTTTAAAACTTCACATGGGGGGCGCCCGGGTGGCTCATTCGGTTGAGCATCCGACTTTGGCTTCGGTCATGGTCTCACAGTTTGAGAGTTTGAGCCCTGTGTGGGGCTCCACGCTGCTCTCTCCTCTCTACTTCTGTCCTACTCATGCTCTGTCTCAAAATAAATAAATAAAACTTAAAAGAAAATTACAAAAAACTTTCACACTTTATGTCCCTGTTTGAACACCATTGAGTCCTCAGAAAGCAGAACTCAGAAAGCCTTTGCCCACAGTCACACCTGTGGGTTTTCTGTGGCTCCTGTCCCGCTGATGCTATGGCCACGTGCATGTCCCGCAGGGGTGCGGACACGGGTTCCGTTTGCCCCAGAAGCAAGAGGAGGGCGGGTGGCCCTTTCCCAAGAGTTTCCTGCCTGATGGCCAAGGGCGAGGGGATTGCGACTGATGCAGCGTCCCCAGTCCCCAGCCCCCAGCCCAGAGGCCCGCTTCCCCAGGTCCTGGCCACCAGCCTCCTGAGGCCGTTGAGGGGATGGCATTTGGGGTGGAGTGGTTAGAAGGAGAATTCGGAGCAGAGACTCCCTGGGAGGGCAGGGAAGGGCAGGGTGGGAGGAGAGATGCCGCCCTCTCCTTTGGGGACCTTTCTACAGTCACAGTACACAGTGGCCCTGCCATGGTCTGCCGTTAGTGCCCCTGTGGGGGGGGCGACGGGAGAGACGGTGGTCCCGGAAGGCTGAGCCCAGCTCTGTGAGCCTCGGGTCCCCAGGGGCCCCTCCTGAGCCGGGTGCAAGGCTCCTGCTGGGAGTCCCAGGGGTCGAAGGAGAGGTTGGCTGTGGGATGCCAGGCAGCAGATCCTTTGAACTGGCTGACCTTGGCCGTGCTGGGCCCTCGCCTGCCTCCTCAGATGGGTAATTAATCGCCAGTAACAGGCTGGCTGCAGAGATTTGGGGAGACGAGCCCAGCTGAGCGGTGGCTCTTCCCAGCCTCCCCAGTGCATCGTGAGCGAGCCCGCCCGACTCCGGCCGTGCATGGGCCGGCGGGCTGGGTCCCGAGTGGGCACGCCTGAGTGGGCCCATGCCAGGGGTGGGGAGGGTGGCAGCGGTGGGAAGTGGGTCCAAGGCCTCCCCGGGCCCTCTCCCTGTCCCGGGTGCCCTCGGAGCCTGGGTGGCCAGGCCTGGCTCCTGAGCTGGGGTGGCCCAGCCGGCCTAACACCTTTCCTGTCGTGTTTTACGCATGGCAGTTGCACTTCCAAAGGGAAGATTCCTCTCCCCCCTCGCCGCGGATGAGGCTGCTGCTGGTCTCTGCATTTAATTTGTGGCCCCGTCCACCGTAAACCTGTCTGGGGCTGCCTTTTAAATTTTCCCTCCACCGGCTTGGGCTTAATTGATTTTAACTCCTCCTTCCCTCTCTCCCTGGCTCCGCGCTTCCCCACCCTTGTTGGGAACGCTCGCGCCCTCACCTGGGCGCCCCCCTCGCCGGCAGGGCCCTCCCGCCCTGTCCCCATGCTGCGCCCTGAGCCGGGCCCCCTGGCCTGTCCTCCCTCAGAACCTGGAGAAGCAGATGCGCCAGCTGGCTGTGATCCCTCCAATGCTGTACGACGCTGAGCAGCAGCGCATCAAGTTCATCAACATGAACGGGCTCATGGACGACCCCATGAAGGTGTACAAAGACCGCCAGGTCATGAACATGTGGAGCGAGCAGGAGAAGGAGACCTTCCGGGAGAAGTGAGTCGCCTGCGGCCGGGGCGTGGGCCACCACGGACCCCTCCACTCCCCTGTCCCAGGCAGCCCTCCCCGTGAGGCGTGAGGCGTGGACGGGCTCCCCGGGGCTGCTGTGACAAAGGACCCCAGGCTGGGTGGCTTACTGCAACAGGAATTTTATCCTCACTCCGTTCTGGAGGCCAGAAGTCCAAGATCAGGGTGTCCTTGATCAGGGTTGGTTCCTCTGAGGCTCCGGAGGGGTCGGCCCTGTGCCCCTCCCCCAGCCCCAGGGATTCCCTGCGACCTTCCTCCTCCCTTGGCTGGTGGACACATCGCTCCCTCTCCGCCTGTCTTCACGGGGTCTGTCCTGTGTGTCTCTTTGTGTCTCCTTTTTTATTTTTGTTATTATTTTTTAATATTTTTATTTATTTCTAGGAGAGAGAGAGAGAGAGACAGTGTGAGCAGGGGAGGGTCAGAGAGAGAGGGAGTCACAGACTGAAACAGGCTCCAGGCTCTGAGCTGGCAGTCAGCACAGAGCCCGACGCGGGGCTCAAACCCACGAACCCCGAGATCATGACCTAAGCGAAAGTCAGACGCTTAACCGACTAAGCCACCCAGGCGCCCCTGTGTCTCCTTTTTTATAAAGACCCCAGCTGTATCGGATACGGGGCCCACCCTGCTCCAGCGTGACCTCATCTTCTCTGGCTACAGCCTCCAGAAACTCGCTTCCAGATCAGGTCACATTTGGAGGTTATGGGTGGACATGAAATTCAGGGGACACTGTTCAACCCAGTGCAAAGCGTACAGGCAACCTTCTACGCAAGGGGCTGTGTGTACCAGGAGAACAAGGCCAGAGGATCTCAGGGGTTGGGCGGGAGGCTGGGGTACGTGGCTGGCCGACGGCTCTCTGGTTCTCATTTCGTTCTGCAAGTGGCTGTTGAGCGTGTCTACCAGCCTAGACGCTGAGCAAATGTTGTGTTTGTCCCTCTTACTCCTCATAACGGCATTATCAGGCCACCCCCATTACGCAGGTTAGGAAACAGAGGCTCAGAGAGGTTAAGACACTTAACGAAGGCCACACAGCTTACAAAATGGTGGAGGGTGGAGAGAAGATGGGACTCAGACTTCCCCAGCTTCAGGGCAAGGGCTGGGCGGCAGAGACGAGGCTTGTCCGGGAAGGGCCAGAGCCAGGGCAGCGTGGGAAAGCAGAGGTAGGAGTCGAGTGCTAAGACAGGAGGCCTGGGGCTTCCACAATGAAAAGAGCAGGAAGACCCTAGTGTTTGGGGGAGACGGGTGAGGCGCTGTCAGATGGATAAGATCCTTATCCCCTCAACTAGACTCAGAAGTTGTATCCCATGGACCCATGTGCCAGGCAGAGAACCCCGTGAGGGGGGAAGGCAGGAGGCTCAGGCAGGGGTGGAGGGCTCTGTGCTTGGCCAGGAGGGTGTGTTGGAAACACACTCTGTGTCCGGAGAAGGCCTCCTGGCCAGGGGACACGGCCGCGTTCTCCAGCCACCTGCTGTGGGGCCGGCCAGGGCCCAGGGCTGTCTCTTCCTTTTGCGGGGCCAGGTGGCCCAGGTGCCTGGCGGGCCTCTGGGGCAGGGACGATTCTGGGTCATGGACAGTGCAGGGATGAGGTAGCTGCCCCAGGACGGGGAGATGCAGGAGGAGCAGCTGATGACGAGGGTCTTGGCAGCAAGAGACTGTATTTTCTAGACGTTTGATCATGGAAATTCTAAAACATCCATGAAACTAGTGGGATGGCTGAGGGAGGCCTCGAGTGCCCACCACAGGCTCAGCCCTGTGGGCAGTGGGGCCCAGGGGTATTTGGGGTTGACTCCTCAGGGGCGGAAAACCCTCATTTCTAAGTCCCCACAGTCCCAGATGTGGCCGTTGTGCCACCAGTCAGGTCCCGTGGGTGAGCTGTCGTCTAATCTTAACCCCGTGACAGACCGCAGGCGTGGAGGCCAGGCTGAGCGCTGCGTTAGGTATTTTAAGTCTCCCTGGCACGCTTGATGTGTTTGTTTATTTACGCCTTTTTTAAAACAAACAACAGAGAAGTGCTTCTGAGGTGTTTTCTGTGTTTCATTGTTTCTGGAGCGTTCACATTTGCTCTTCTCACCTAACGATTTCATTGTTAATTCGGAAGAACGGGCGACCCCGGCTGGGCTGCTGTCTGCTGAGCCCTAGCTTGGTGCCTCATGTCTTTCCAGGAGAGTGGTCATGGTCAAGGTTGTCACCACAGAACTGATGGCGCGCAGGCCTCCGCAAATCATGTGCCGGGGGCCTAGAGCTCCACCACTTACGGGCTTTTCACCTCGGGTAGCCACCCTCTTCTCTGAGCCTCAGTTTCCACATCTGTAAAATGGGTATAGCAACAGCACCTCCCTTGTTTAGCTGCCGAGAGGTGCCCGGTGGGCAGGAGGTTGTCAGTATACGATGGCAGAGGACACAGACACAGGTGCAGGTGGGAGGGCAGTGGGAGAGGTGAGCTAGGGGTTCCCAAGTTTGAAACCTGGTCTCCTGGGACTCCTTGTCTCCTTGGGGAAACCCCAGGAAGGGATCTAGGTGGGAAGGAAATGTCACTGGGGCAGGGAGGGAGGGGACTCTGTCTGGAAAAGCCGGGTGTTAGACTGGCTCCAGCTTCGCAGGCTGCCTGAGGCGGGAGCCCAGGCGGGGAAGCCTGCCGCTCTGACTCTTGGCTTCCTCCTGGAAGAGAGAAGAGGCCGTTCCGGATTCTCCAGTGTCTGGTCGGGGAGCAGGGGAGGGGCTCCCTGGCCTGCTGCCCAGCCATCTGGAGGGCCGGGCAGGAGAGCACCGGGCGCTGGCCCAGGCTCCCTCATGGGACCTGGGGCCCCCGCCTCGCCAGCGGCTCCTTCTCTCCCCGGAGGAGGCTGTGGGGCAGTGGCGCATCGTGGGGACCATCAGGCCGGGGCCGGGCCCCGGGCCAGGGACTCCACCCAGCGTCTCCGGGGCCCTGGCGGCCGTGACCCACATCTCCGCCCCCGCTGCCCGCCTGCTCCTATGGCCCTGACATTTCAGCCTTGCCGAGTCTTTCCCAGTAATTCTGCCGGCTTCGCAGGAAGCCCGTTGGTGGGGTGCCAGCTCCCCGCGCCCCCTCCGGCGTAAGTCCTTTCTGGCCGCCTCCTGGCAGGCGTGCAGCACCCGGGCCCCCACCTCTCCCCGGGAGGCCGGCCTGTCTCGGCCTGACCTGTGGCCTGGCGCAGGGAGGTGGGGGGGCCGCGTGGGCCGGGCGAGGCTCGGCTTCCCAGACCCGGCCGGAGATAGAAACAAAGGCATTTTTTCAAAGGGGGGGAACCCCACCAAAGAGCTGCATGCAATGTCCTCATTTTTCCTGGAAGCCGCCTCCAGCAGGACAAACAAATATATTTTCAAAGGCGCTAAAACCAGTGACTCACTGCAAGGAACGCCCTCCCTTACCCTCGCCCGCCCGCCCTTCCCACACCCCCCTGGGCTTAATTGCTGCGAGTGGGGCGGCGCCCGCCCAGCCGGGCCTCGGAGATGGCAGGCGCCCGGGTGCTCGGTGCCCGCCCAGCCGGAAAGCCCCCCGCGGCCGGGCCTCACGCCCGCCCTGCTCCTCCCGCAGGTTCATGCAGCACCCCAAGAACTTCGGCCTGATCGCATCGTTCCTGGAGAGGAAGGTGAGTCGCTGCCCCCACGGCCAGACGCAGCCTGCCCGCTCTGCGCCTCTCCTGGGTCCACTCCGGTGGGCAGCCCCTTCCCTGGTGCTGCGGGTCCTCCCTCCCTGCCCACGGGGCTTGCCCCTTGCTCTGGCTTTCCATCCTCCCCTCCTTCCCCGGCAGTGCTCCTGCTCCCTCCTCCTCGGAGAGCGGCCACAGGCCCCGCCCCTACTGGTGGAGGGGGCGGAGCCTCAGGCTTGGGCACCAGGAGAGCTGTGTACACTGGCCTCCCCGAGCCTGCTTCTCGGATGTGGCAGTGAGAGCCCCCGCCGATTGGGCACACGTTCCGGAAGCCATGCTGTGCCTGGCGTCCCTATAGGCAAGGGTGGCCTTCTTCCAGGGGGTGGGGCCCTCCGATGGTCACTGCGGGCTTTCTGACGCCCCTGCTGCCAGCCAGGCTTGTGTCCAGTAAGTCCCATCCCACTGGGACGAGCCTTTCCGGAGCACTGCCCTTCGAATCCTAGCTCGCCCCCAAAGCCAGCCCTAGCCAGTGCCCCTGTTCACTCCCAACTCCCACCTGGCAAGTGGGCCCAGAGCATCCCGTAGAATGGTGAAGGCCTCCTTCGCACCCTTCATTGGGCTGCACAGTGCCTGGAGAAGTGGGTGGGGTCTGGATGAGACCCTGGGCCGTAGGGCAGAGCGGGAAGGGCATCCAGCAAAGGTTCACCTACTGAGGCTGCTGTCCCGGGGCCTTTACACCGCACTCCCTTGAATCGGGCGCGTCAGAGGTGGGGGCCCAGCTGCTGGAGGCCGCATGCTTTTCGGTCGAGGGAGGGCCGTCTGGGTAGGAGCCATACAGTTATTTTAAAGTTGAATAGTTGCTCCCAGTGTCCGCCCTTAGCGGGGTGATAGCCATAGGAGGAGGGAGACGGGCAGCGTGGGGAGGCCAGATCTCTCTGTGCCTGAGAAGCCGTGCAGGGAAGTGAGCGCCATACACAGCCTTTCCTCTGAGTTTATGACTGCTTCGTGCTGCAGCTGTGGGCAGCCCGGGAGGCTCTAGGTCAGGGCTCCCCGGGGATGGAGGCCAGGGTCTCAGATGCCGGCCACTGTGCGGCACTGCTTGGGAACGGGGAATGAGAGCCTCTACACTGAAAAGTAAACTTTATGGTGTATTTTGACTAAGAGGCAGCTCAGGACAGGACTTAAATAGAGCTTCCAGAAGGGTCTGGAGCAGGGGTTGCCAACTGTGCTCCGTGCCTTGGGGAGAGGTGTGTTCTGAGCGAGGCTGACGGCCGACCTGTGTAGCTCGCCGTCGTCTGGCAGAGAAAGCACGCCCCTGAAGGCTCCAGGGGGAGCCGGACCCCCACATCACCCGATTTGCAAATACTGGCGTCTGGTAATTCACTGACTTTCTTGCTGTCATGTGGGCCCCATTGGTGGGCCAGGGTTACCTGGGCAGTAGCCTCTGCTCACGTGTCTTCTGGGAGGGGGCAGAGGCCACCTGGCCTCCCTCCGCACCCGGCAGCCCTTGTGGACTGGCTTCCAGAAGCGAGCGGTCTTGGCGCCGACTCAGACCCACAGCGACACCTGACATCCTGTCAGTAATGGCTGCAGGCGTTGGCCAGCCGTCGCCCGGAGCTGGCCTGCGGCCACAGGTGGCTGGCGCTGCCATGTTGGGTCTGGTTGCCTTGAGGTGGCTTCTTGCTGGTCCTGTTCGGGCAAAGAGGTAGTGCAGTCCAGGGCGGGCCAGTGACACTGCGGTTCAGACCTGGGATGGTGCGGGAAGGACCAAAGCTGAGAAGATCACAAACCTTCTAGGAGATGACGAGTGGCTTGGGGACGCTAGAGTCCAGCTGGGCCGCAGAGCTTTGGCAGAGGATACTTGGGGCCCCGGGTGTTTGGGAAGAAGGGACTGGGCTGAGAGACAGGAGCCCCAGGCCTGAGTTTGTCCAGTGGGGAGCTGGAGGGCTAGGGGAGGCAGGCGACCCCCCATTGCGGTTATGGATGGCTGCAGTCACGCGCCCTGCAGCGTGGACGGCATTCGGGTGCCGTCTTCGTGACTGCTCTGTAACACGTGTGCTCTTAGCACCCCCGATGCGCAGGGAGGTGAGGTGACCGGCCAGGTGTGGAGGGGGCGGGACGTGAACCCAGGCCTCTGGGCCTTGCCGCCTGCTCTGACCACCCACCCTGTACACAGCAGTCTGCTCTCTGTGCCCCACAGACTGTGGCCGAGTGTGTCCTCTATTACTACCTGACCAAGAAGAACGAGAACTATAAGAGCCTGGTGAGGAGGAGCTACCGGCGACGCGGCAAGAGCCAGGTAAGGGGCGGCCTGGGGGCTTGGCTCTTGGGATGGGTTCCCAGCATGTCCTGCAGCCCTTGGTAGGTTGGGCGGTGACTGTGGCCGCGGTGGGCCCCCTCCGCTCAGGCCCCCACAGTGGCGGCTGGGAGACCCTCTCGGGGGCGTCCAGCCTACCCCAGCAGCAGAGAGGAGCGCTGGGGGAAAGACTGCTTCCATTTCTTAGCCTGGAAAATTCTAGAACTCCTGGCTTGGTGAATCGTGATTGCTGTGGTGGAAAGGGCCACATCCCTAGAGCAAGGACTGGGTCCTCTGGGTGACTTGAGCTGGTTCACAAAGCTAACATTTAAAAAAAATGTTTATAGTTCTTTTGTGTTTACTGTTCTGCATATTTGAAAGCAAAAAATAGCCAGTACACCCTCCTGTAGCCTGTCTGCCGTAACTGCCCAGGGTGAGACTGAAGGATTGTTTACCTTGAAGCGTGGTTCCGCACGCTGTGGCTCCCCCACCTTCCCTTGTGAATAAAGCTTTATTGACACACAGCCGTGTGCATTCGTTTCCGAATTACCATGGCAGCTTCTCTGTCACAGCAGCAGAGCAGAGCAGCCGTGGCAGAAAGTGCAAGGACCTAAAATCTGGGCTACCTGGTCCTGTACAGAATACGGAAGCCCCCACCCTGCACTCAGGCGTAAACAATGGGGCCTGCGATTTGGCTCTCACTGGGCGGGCTGTTGAAGGGTGGCCACGTCTGGTTTGTGGATAGGCTTTGCCTTGAGTGTTGTGTGGCCACAGCCGGCCTGCCCATGTAACGGATGCGTGAAACCGAGGCTTACTGACTTGGAGCTATTTCACTGCAAAGACCTAGTTGTGGTATTTTAGAAACTGAGGTACAGTCAGGCATTTTCTAGACTGAGAGGCTCCAGGTAGGGAGTGTGGATATGCTGAGGCATGAAGGGCACGGTGGTGGGGACTGTGGCAAAGTAGAGGCCTGTAGGTTTGTTTAAAAATAAACAAACTTATTTAAAGATTATGTATTCAAAAGTGAGTCCCGCTTCGGGGTGTTTGCAGAGCACCTGCTGTGAGCCAGTTCTCTTGCTCGCCTTCCCAGTGCTTGTGCCCTCACTCGCTCCACTGCCTTGGTGGGGCCTCCGGGGGGGGGGTGCTCATGAGCCCTTCCTGGTGGCACGGCTGGGGCCTCTAGAGAAGAGAGGGTTCTGACTCAGAGTGGAGGTTACGTAGGGAGGGGGTGTCCCCGGATAAGTCCTGGAGGGCTGGGGTTTCTGTGTCCTGCATCCCGGGTCCTGTATGCCACGCCTTTGATTTTGTGGCGTCCATTCTGTTCATTGGACGTTTGTGTGCCGGGCACAAGGGGCTTCTTCTGGGCGTATGGACCGGCCGGTGTACGTGGTTCTAAGACCGTGTGCCGGTGCTCTGCCTGCAGGTGTCTGTACTGCAGGGCCCTCAAAAGTGAGGGTAAGGAGCGGGCCCCGGGTTGGACAGGGACACAGGTGAGGGTGTCCTGGGCAGAGGCAGCAGCAGGTGCAAAGGCACGGGGGCGTGAGAGAGCACAGCGCCCTCAGAGTCTCGGAAACGGGTCTCAGCATTCCAGGCTCTTTTTAAATTTAATATTATTTCATAGTTTGTTTATTTTGAGAGGGTGGGGGAGGGGCAGAGAGAGAGAGGAAGAGCGAGAGAGTGGCCAGCAGGCTCTGCACTGTCAGCTAGAAGCCTGAGGCAGGGCATGAACCCATGAACCGTGAGATCGGGACCTGGGCCAAAGTCGGATGCCTACCTGACTGAGCCCCTGGGCGCCCCAGCAGCGCCTTCCAGGGTCTTAAATGAACCAAGGATTGGAGAGAGATCATGGAACCCTGCGTCTCCTCGTGTTTGCCAAGTGAGTAGAGGCAGTTCTCTGCCCTGTGGGAAGGAGAGCATACACGCGTTGGTGAATGGTGGCTCACACCTGACCTCAGCGTCCGTGAGAGGCAACGGAGCGCTGAGGCCCGCGGCCGACTTACAGAGCATGCGTGTGTCCATTCCAGCTGACCTCTGGCCAAGGGGCCTCCTGTTGCCAGAGCTGATTTTCGATGATAAGCTTGAAAATCGAGAATTTATGTGAAATGGCCTCATTTTTAAACCTTAGGGTGCATGAAAAACAGCAAGGAGTGCTTGGAGGGCTCAGTCCGTTCAACATCTGACTCTTGATTTCGGCTCAGGTCATGATCCCAAGGTTCATGGGACCGAGCCTCATGCCGGGCTCTGGGCTGAGCCTGGAAGCTGTTTGGGATTCTCCCTCTGTTTCTGTCTCTCTCAAATGACTGAAGTGAGAACACCACCACCACCAACACACTGACTGTATGGGCCACACTCACATTTGCTCTTCTTTTGAAATGAAGTTCTTAATTTTAATGCCAGAAGAGACCAGGCGTAGTGTCGTGTCAGTGTCGGGAGTACGATACAGCAATCCTGCAGTTGTGCTCGGCACTCCGTGCTCATTGCGGCAAGCGCACTCTCACTCGTATCTGCTCTCCATCTATCCTCAGCCCTGAGTGCAGGATCTCTGGAATCGAGAATGGCGAGGCCGGGTGGTAAGGGGACTGACTGTGCGACGTGGGACAGAGGTCCAACCAGGAAAGCCGGGGCCCTGGGGAGCCCTGGAGTGTTCTATAGCAGAGGAGGAGCATCTGTTTCCTCTTGTCTGTGCTGCCCAGATCAGCCGTAGTGTGTGTGCACTGCGTCTCTGGGGAGGTTGGGCCTCTGCCCCAGCTGGGGCCTCCGGCTGTGGCTCCCAGGACAGAGAAGGGCCGCCTCTGTGCTCTGCCTCTTGCAAACAGAGGGAAGGAAGCAGGGCAGGATGCCCCTGTCTCCCGGGAGATGGGACACGTGTTAGTGACTCTTCCCTCCCTCTCATCACTGGGGCTGCTAGAGTCCAGTGTGGCCCGGGCCCTGCCAGGGACAGAGATTTATGTGCAGATCCTGGAAGGACTTCTGTGCCCGGCACACTGGCCCTGTTCATAAATACGGAATAAATGGGTCATCCCCAGTGCTGGCTTTGGGGCCGTAAGTCTTGTCTCTGCCCCGTGACCGTGAAATAAATGGCAGACCCCGTTCTCTCGGCCCCTCTCGTTAATCTGGGATGCAGTTACTGGTGGGCCCCGAGCTCCCTCATTTCTCCTCGGTTTTATAAAACCCGCGGTCCTGCTGATAAATCTGCCATGGGGAGGACGGCGCTCCCATAGCCTGGCCTGGTGTGGGCAGGGGCGTGTCTGCGTGGGCGCCCACGGGTGCAGGGGAGGGGTGCAGGTGGCTGTGGTCAGGTGTGTGGCCAGAGCGGCAGCTGAGAGAGGACATGGAGGGCACCCAGTGACCCCCCTGCTGCCCCAGCCTTGTGTCTGAGCCCGACCCTGGCCGCTTAGACCTTGGGAACCTTGGGCCGCGGCACACACGGGGCCCACCCTGCACCCCCTTCCCTTTGCCCACACTTCTCTCTGCCAACCGTCCCGTCCACCCCCAGACGGCCCCCTCGCCTCCCTGGGCAGCCACAGGAAGACAGGCGTCAGGTCCTTCCTGCAAACGAAATGTCTGGGGGCCCATGGAGGCCAGGAGGTAGTGCCTCCCCTGTCCTGGCTTCTCCGCGGGGGGCGGGGCCAAGCCATTGGTGGTGTTTATTTCTTGAGGGGAGCAAGTCAGGCCTGCCCCCCTCCCCGGTCCCTGTAGTGTTGGACGAAGACCTAGGTGGTCTCAGCCAGTATTCGCCGTTCCCCTGGTCAGGGGGACGCGGGGCGGCCGGTGAGACATGGGAGCCCTGTCCGAATCCGCAGGCACCACGATGGGCTGGCGACGCTGCTGACTGCACGGGGCTGATGTGGAAGAGAACAGCAGCCGCGGTCGTGTTCGCCCAACGCCAGCCGCCTCCAGGGGCCGGGGTCTGTGTGGAGGGCGGAACGCGTTTTGACTCTGGCATTTTGGAGGAGGCACTTGATCCCTGTTTTCTAGGGAAGGAGGTCAGGGTGCAGAGTGGTGAAGGGGCTCCCCGAGGAGCCTGCTCTTGCAGTGTGTTCCGAGGTCAGACCTGGCACCCCCTGCCACAGAGGCCCACGGGGACCCTGGCAGTGCCATTTGCCATGGTGTGGCCGTGTGGAAGCCACCCCTCACCGACCACATCGGCCCATGGGTGCAGTGGGTGCAGACTGAGTGGGTCCGGGCAGTGAGTGAGGCTCGCCGTGGGTGGACGGTGCCCCGCCGGCCCCCGCCCAGGTCTCGTCTCCGCTCCCTGGAATCTGCTCCTGGAAACCCCTGTCTCTCGCTTCTCCGCTGCTGCCTGGGCCACGAGCGTCCCTGGGAGACACGGAGGGCCCTTGAGTCTGACCTTCCTCTCTCCCCCTCTTGCCGTCTCTCATAGCAACCCCCCATGCGTGTCCCCTCCCTCTTCCGGGTGGCTGGTAACCACAGAGGCTGTGGTGCCTGTCTGTGGCTTCCATGGCTTGGGGCCACGCTGTGGCTAAGGATGGCCACGAGGGCCCCCTCAACTTTTCAGCCCAATAGATGCCCCTTGACAGCCTCCCCCCACCAGGTGTCAGATGCACAATATTGTATTTGTCCAAGGGCATTTATTGAGTGCTTACCGCATGTCCAGGCTAAGAAGCTTTGCTTTGAGAGCCATATCAGACCGTGATGTTTCAGAAAGCCAGAGTGAAGGCACCAGCCCAGCATGGCTGTCTTCACAGCTCACAGGCCGTCCCGATTCAAGGCCGAGAGGCAGGCGCTAGGTGGTGCTTCAAGGTGTTGGCGAGTGGGCTTGGTGGTCCTTCTAGAGGCTGGGTGGCCGGGGCCTTTCCCGAGTTGGCTGGTGCATGGCCTGGGCCCAGAGATGGGGGGATGCCTCTGACATCGTTGCCCGAGCCCTCTCTCCTCACTGTTCTTGCCTTGGCGGGACTGAAATGGGTTCCAGGTGCCAATCCCACCATCTGGGGAGGAGAGTGCAAACCCATGGCGCTGGCGGCAGGCAGTTATTCTCCCCA